GGAAAAAGTCCTTAATTGTCCTTATCGTAACCTTCCTTAAATGGATTTAAGGGCTTTTGGAATCTCTGGGTCCGACGCCCCTGTGTCCGACGAAAGCATCTGGAGTCCGACGCCCCTGTGTCCGACGAAGAGTCCGGCGCCCCTGTGTCCGACGCAAGCCTTTGGAGTCCGACATCCCTGTGCCCCTAGACCCTAAACCCTAAACTCCCAAACCTTAGACTGTATATACACCCTAGACCATTACAGTGATTACAGCATTCAACGAAAGAAGGAGCCACTAGCATGTAATCCCACACCGTTACAGGCTGAGCCCTCAGCAGGGCCAAAATCACTACCAATTCCATTGGCCCACGCGTGATCCTTTTACAGCAGGATCAGTTCCTGGGAATTGCATGCCTTGGCCTGTAAATACGTCAACTTCAGCGGTCTGGCTACTTGCAGCTGGGAGTCTTGGAGGGGGAAGGTAATTGTGACAGGTCTTTCATTTATTTGGCCACTTCAGCAGCGGCTTCATGAACACTTAGTCAGCGTTGTTGTTATTGTTCGGCAGGCTTTAGTGTTGCTACCTTTCTACTTCATTAATGCTATAGCCACTTCCTTCATGAAGCACTGAGTCAGTCAGCGCTGCTGCCATTGATTCAGCGGTTTCTCCCACTGAAAATTAAGTTGAACACACCGCGCTCCTTGCAGGTTGGAGTCTGGGCGGGCAAGGTAGTAATATGATCGACCTTACGTTCCTATTATCACTTGACCGGTGGTTTTTGTAAAGTCAGCGTTTCTGCCAGCTAATACTGATTATAAGGCTGATCTTGCACTCTGATGCTCGAGCGAGCTGAGTAGCGGATCCAGGGCCCCCTGCGCAGATGACAAAAGTATTGGGGTACCTGCGTGTGTCTTCCGAGGCCGATTGCGGGCATGGCAAAACAAGTCTGCAGAGGCAGGAGCAGGCTATCAACGGCTATGTTCACAAGCAAGGGCTTCGCGTGGACAAGTCGTGCCTCTTCTCCGATATCGGCGTCTCCGGAACAGCGCCTGTGGAAAGGCGGCTGGGCTTCATGAAAATGTTGGATTATGCGAGAGCACACAAGATTGATCAGGTCATCTTTGAAGATGCCTCTAGATTGGCGCGCTGTGTTGTGGTGCAAGAGCTAGCGCTCCAGCTGCTGCAAGAGTTGAATATCACTGCGGTGTCAGTCGCCAATCCGGAACATTTTCTACATGATGATGACTCGCCCCATACCAAACTGGTGCGGCAACTCATTGGAGCCATCTCGGAATTTCACAGGAGCGAGACTGTCACTCGATTGAGGAAGGGCCGAGATATTAACCTCGCTAAGTCCACTAAGTACACTATGTCTGGCTCTCCCAAGCTGGGTGGCAAGCCGAATCTCGAAAAAGGTGACCTGGCCAAGATCCGGCAAAAGCTTTTTGAGAAGGGCATCTCAACAGCCAATGGTGAAATAGTGAGCCACTCTTAGGCTTTTTGTCCAGTAGACATGATTGAAACGCGTGCTATACATTAGTGAGACTACACGCTAATGCTTGGAGCTGCAGATGCAGACGTCTGCGTGACAAATGATTCCACTGGCGCTTGCGCAGTCTGTAGAAGCATGAACTCAGCAACGCAAAAGCCCTGGATTGGAAGGCCTGCGCGGCTAGCGTACTGGCGCCGCTGGCGGCAGCCTTACTTCAGGGCGTGGAAGTAGGACACCAATGGTCTACGCGGGGATTCTCGTTTTCACTTGAAGTCAGTTGGGCATCCCAATCCAAAAGCCTGGGCTGGGGAACAAGCTTGGCTTCCTGGAATCAGGGTTCAGAGCTTCTGGACTAGCTGCATTTTGGGTTAATCCACTTCTCAAAATCAGGGGACGTAATTCTCCACAAACCACAGCAGCAAAGTCTTAGGACCACTGCCTGATCACTCAGCGGCTGCCTAAGGTCAAAACAGAATTATTCATAGTCGACTAAGCGGCTGACCTATGACAGTTGCGGTCTATGATTGACATGCACGACTGTGTCTCCATTAAAGAGCGGAGGGCGAAATTTGCAGCTGCACTTTTTTCAGTCTGAGTCTGCGTCACGCAAGTACTGGGCGCAGCGCCTGACGACCTGTTGGTAGAAGGCAAGCGCTTGGCGCTCACATCTTTGTCAGTGGATTCGCGCATGTAATGCAGCGCAGACAATGGGATCTTGCCACCCTGGTCAGATGTCTCCTGTCCTTCCTTCTCCTTCTGGTCCAAAACCAATGGCCAAACAAGAATATCTGAAGCAAAAAATGTGCGAACCGAAATGGCGTCTTGTCTAGCGCGCTTCTGCTTCGACCCTTCAGCGGCCGCGCGAGATCCAGGAGGAGCCCATGTTCCGAAAACATTGATGCGCTCATACTTGCCTTTGACAGGCTCCCACGGCTCCACAAGGACATAAGGCGGCTCAGTCTCCCTCACCGCTCGGAGCACTTTTCCCAAACGGACTGGCAAGTCAGTATGCCTGCTGCAAGCAAAAAATTGCCAGCGTACCAGCTTCAAGCTCGTCTTGGCAAAAGCCTTGGTTGTCTGAGGCTTGAGCGCCGGGAAGTGTCAGAAGCCCAGATTTCCCATCACGGATACTGGCAGAGCACTTCGGGAATGCCGCAGCCATAACTCTTCGCAACTCCTCAGAAAATCCAGCACTTGCAGTCGGTTGGCAGTGGCCTCCTGCGTCTGCAAGTCGCCGAATGGCCATAATGCGATCTCCCAAGGATTGCCCTGAGGGCAGGAAGGCATCATTTTGATGCCGCAGCAAGGCGAGGCACTGATCAACTCCATCGGAACGGCGATCTGCAGCTGCAAGCCTTGGCCAAATCGGACAAGTCAAGGAAAAATGATGAAATATTCCTAGCTCGAGCAGTACCGGAAAAAGGCACACAAACTGCCATACAAGCCGCAGAAACAAATCACGCAACTTTCCAAACCAAGCCTCCGATTTGCGGACGAAGCCCTCCTCCCACGCAGGCTGCACTATGTTGGGGTACAGCTGGGACAACGCCTGAACTTCACTCTGCTCCACCAGAACCATTGCTTCCCCCCATTCGGGAGATGTCAGCCAGTGTTTGGATTGGACAAGAATACTGCCATCTGTTCCCCAGAAAACACGCACATTGTTGGGCTGCGTGATGCCTTTCACTCTCTTGCTGCCAAGCTTCTCGGGCTGAGCCTCGTTGAAAGCGTAAACGTCGCGCAAGTGTTTCCAAAATGGGGGCGACTTCATTATGCTTTGAAGCAGCGCCATCATTTCCTCAAGCCTGTAAAAATCTCGCCCTGCAAGCGCTTTGGAGATGTAAGCAAACATGGCATCCATCAGGTCACGCGTGTGACCAACAACAAGATATCCAAATTCTATGCAATGTAGTCTGGTCCCCCTGAGTTGCGCAAGGAGCCACGCGGCACCAAATAGACTGATCGTGTTCTTTGTCTCTTTCACTGTGTTATCTGCTTGGATGAACAGTCTTCTTGGGAGCATGCCCTTGATGGCGACAGCCTCCTGGAGAAAGTCGACCATCATGCTTGCTATCATGTCTCCGCCATGAACCTGGTCCTCTAGAATCGTATATACCAAAGGTTGCTTGAAAAGAGCTGGCGCAAGAACCCCAATCAAAGAAACCACAAGTCGAGAGCCGCCTTTCATGAACTGTGTGTTCGAGAGCGCCACAATGCGCGGTACAATGGTCTTTGCTTGGTCCATTTTGTCCCACGCCACAGCCACTAGGTCTTCTGGATGTTCTTCGGATTCCCGAAAGATTTGGCTCATTGCTACCCTTTGCGCGGCCTGAAACTGGAAATGCTCTCCGAGGACGCTTGCCAGCTGTTCCCGGACGCCCTTGTCTGACGAGTTGGCCATTGTCCATTTGAGGTAATCACACAGACCGCAGTGTGTGAAGGGTCCAGCGGTTGGACGACGCTTGATCCACGGCAACTCCGTTCTCCAAACCTTCATAAAGTACTTCAGCCCCGCCACCTCCTCGTCTGGCTTGCCTTTCTTTTTGCCTTAACTGACAAGTGCCCAAAGGCGAAGCCCACTAGACACTTTCACAGATATATGCTAAATACAGGAAACCATGAACAGTTGTATAGGGTTTTGCCGAAAATCCGAAGCAAGATTCAAAAGAAGAGCAAAAAAAACAAGAACAACAATAACAAGAACAGGAGCAGGAGCAAGAACAAGAACAAGAAGAACAAGAGCAACAGCAACAGCAACAGCAAGAACAGTAACACGAGCACGGACACCACTAGCAGCAGCAGCAGCAGCAGCAAAAGCAGCCAAATTGTATTACCAGAGTAGACGCACCCAAAAATAAAGCTGTAGCAACAACAGGCTGCAAAAACGGAAAATTACTATCATTACTCCCCACGCCATTAAAGCAGTGGAGCCTGCCACTTAAACAGCGGCTGCCACTTCAACAGCGGCTGCCACTCTGGCAGCGGCAGAACACTGGGGTCAGCGTTCTCACTTTTAGGGTCTTAGAGGACGGGAAAACCATCTCTCACCAGGGTCTTAAAGTCTTAAAGGTCGGGAAAATAATCTGGTCCAGGAGCTTAGCCGCAAAGGCAAATATTGCTGGCTTGTGTGCTTTGGTAATAAAGTCGTCTAATTAGAGGCTTGTGGTATCCTGTCTACTAACAGGAAACTTAAGCGAGCTCGTAAGTATGCATATAGTGATGGCTTCGGATTTGGAGGTTACATGCTTCAGGGTCTAGTTTAGGGTTTAGGGATCTGGGGGGTAATGCCCAAAGGCAGATGAAGTCTGTCGCCCGGAGATCCATCTTCCACTTGGCGAAAGCAGAATCCCACTGCTTGTTTCCGTTGTGGCTCGAAAGCATCTGCCCTGCCGGGAACATCCTGCGATTTTACAGAGGGCGGAGTCGGCATTGTTACGGGCATTGTGGTCCGGAGTCAGCGGTTCAGTAGGATCTCGCGCATGGCGCTGCCTTGCCGTGTTGAATGCCTTATAGGTTTTCCCCGACCCATTGCTGCCGAGATAGATGGCAACTTGCTTCGTGCTGCTTCAAAGGCAGAGCGCTTCCTCTTGGAGCCTTCGGCTGCTACTATTATTCCCTCCTAGATCCCAACCACTTTCATCAGGAGGTCCTCGTTGTAAGAATATATCCATCCATAAAATTTGGTTTAGGTCAGCGCTTGACCAACGAATAGGACTGGGGTCAGTAACTTTGCAGATAAGCCTGGATGATGTCACCAGTACGCAAGCTCCAGCTAACAGCTTCGACATTACAAAGCCCTGAACAAAGTCCCAGCCAGACAGCGAGAGTTCAATCGTGCTTTATGCGGAACTACTTTAAGGGTTCGTGGGTGTCTACAAATGCGGGGGGCTGAGAATGTTGGTCAGAAAAAGACTTCTGATTCATAACTCGGAATCCGTAGACTCGTAGACCCTCATCAGGCCCTGATGCCCTAAAAGCTTTTCTGGAACGCGAGCCGCGCATAAATTCCGCAGCCCAGCGTTGACCCCAAACCCTAAACCCCCCAACAATGTCGTCAACAGCAAGCCGGACAACAACAGATTTTTTAAATGACCCCAAATTCAAAAGGCCAAGGCACAGTCATGCACATACGCCGCCCAAAAGAAGTGCTTGCGGGCATACGGCAGCCAAAGATTTGTGTTCAAGGGGCTCGTGTCAGCATGAATATGCGCATAATCCAGAAGCCAAGCTCTGCAATCCAGGTAGGCCGGCGCCCTGCGCAAACGCCAGGCAAAGCTCTCTGACTGCAAAACGCCAGCAACAGCAGCTGAGCGAGCTCGCTGCAGCGCGTCTGCATGGATACCGGTTATGCGTATGAAAGCGTCCCTGCACACAGATTGGCCAAAAACAGTGTACTGCATACGAAATTCATCCTCGCCATCTGCTTCATGCTGCTGCTTCGTGGCTGCGAAGAAAGCACGAAGACGTTCCTGCCTGTCAGCTTTGGGCAGGCTGTACCACATCTTTCTCCATCTCAAAACCAGCTTGGGGCAAGTCCTGAAAGCATCTAAACAGCTGCGCGCGGCACCGTGCCTCTGGCAGGGCGCAATCAAGATATTTCTTAATTGTGCTGAGCGTCAGCTTGGCACCCAAAGCCCGGGACTTTGCATACACCATTTTCTGGTTCGCGGGGCAGGTCCGCTTCAGGATGTTCACTCTGGCAAGTTCCAGCTGATAAGATCTATCAATGTCTCGGCTATCTTCAAGCTGCTCGTGCTGCAAGAGTTTCAGAGCGGCCCTCCATTGCAAAGTTTGCGAAATGCCCTCAAATGGCTCGTCTGTCCCTTCCAGCCTACTCAACAAATCAGGAATTTCAGAATCCAAGCTAGGGCCCCAGGGATCCCACTTAATAAGAGCACAACAAAGGCGAAACGTGACATCCTGATCAGGAATCACTGGGGTCAACTCCGTATCGCTTGCATCTGAAAGAGATTCCGAGTCAGCGCGGTCAGGGTCAGGTAGGTGCTGGCAGACCATATCTGATGAGGTTTTGCATGGTTCAAGGTTATCGCGCGGCACAGGCCGGACCGCAAAAAAATGGACATTCAGCGTATTCGCTAGCAAGCACACCTGCGCGGAGTTCTTCTTCTGCATTTGCTGTGAAGCAGGCAGATGTGGCCTCCCGTCATCCAAAAACACCAGCAGCTGAAGCTCAAAAACAGCAGATGCTGCCAGAAGCATCGGTGTATCAATCCAGGCCTTCTCCAGTTTCATTTGTTCAATATAATGGGAGAGACTGCTGTAGCCATCCATTTCCACCCAGTCAGAGATTGTTACATCAGGCACTACTTCTTCCGCCCCGTGGCTTCTAATCCACATGAGCAGCTTGAGGCGCAGAGCCTGGCACGAAGCATCCAAGCCCTTCGTCTCCATCAAAGACAAGATGCTAGCCGCGGGGTCGGTCTGAAAGTGGAGCCGCTGTAGATTCACCACAGTTCCCGTCAGAGACCGTTTTTTCTGGCATAAGACCATTGGCACGCAGCCCATCCTGTAAGACATCCCTGGACCCTGTGGCTCTTGCTTGCGCCTTTCCGCGAGCGAAGGCATAGTCAGGGAATTCGGACAGCAAAGATCGCTTGGTTGTGTGCTGCAAGGCGCGCGCTAGCGGTGGAAACATGAGAGTCAAGCGTGAAGGAATGCCCAAAAGCTCAGATGTTTAGCATCCCCTTCAAAATTAAAGACATTGGCCACACCTGCTTTTTCACAATCATAATTTAGCATAAAACATATGAAATCCTGCAAACGCTGGCCTAAATCACCACGAGCCACATCTTGCGCAACTGACTGCGGGGAGTGGAATCATAGCTGCCCAACCCAAAAACAACAACTCATTCATAAGTAGCTGTGGCCCAAAGCCTTGCAATCAGTAGCAAATCCCAGAAAGCCCATGAAACTGCAGACAGGAGTATCATTTATCAGCAACTGATTGCCTTCAGTCTCCACTTATTGCCCTGGCCCCCTTCGTCATGAGAGTGCTTTAATTTGTCTCCCCACCGATTTGCTCTGCAGGCGAGAAGCCTTTGGGTGGCGCCGGGCCCTCTGCATCCGCATGTGCCTTGCGACAGCGCGAGTGTTTGTTGTTCCGGAAGGTGTGGCCTAACTCTGTGGCAGCACTAGTGGATGCTTTAGAGATTCTGGTACTCTAGCGTACAAGATTTTCTATGCCTTAAAAGCGCCGCTGATTCATTGGCAAAGCCTGAAGTATGCAAGCAATGCCGCTGATTAAGTGGCAGAGCCTACTAAGGTAGATCCGGCCCGAGCTTAGGCGTTTGAATTCTAGGCCACTTAAACAGCGGCTTAGCCACTTAAGCAGCGGCTCTATATCAACTCCCTTTCTACTGAGCGGGCAGGACCTTCTCGACGTTGCAGCAGCTGCCGATGTTCCTCGGCCAACGCTGGCTTGGGGGCTATTGTTCAGGGGCTTTGGCAGAATGCGGAGGGATCAGAAACACATAAAGCTGTCAGTTCGATCTGTGATTTTTTCGCGATCATGTCTGCGGGTAGAAATGCCAGCACGAGAGAGGGTCAAAAGATGTCTGCATGTGCCAGTATCTATATGAGACTTAAAGTTAGGTAGTGTGCTCACTTATTTAACCTCTGTCTACCTCTATGGCTGGCCTGAGACTTTAAGCTTGGCTGTACTCACTTATTAAACCTCTGTCTACCTCTCTGGCTGGACTTTGAAAAAGAACCTTTGAAGCTCGGGCTCACTTCGTAGTCTTGTCTGGCTCCTGCGTGCAAAGCATGTTGAAAGCTTCTTATGGTTTGTGGGGGCTATTCTTGACTGCTGCAGCTCGAATGTCCTCGGAGATCAGCTTCGGCTTCTTGCCGGTGTCCGGCTTCTTGTCGCTCTCCTGTCATTACGTGTCTACTGAAGCTGTTTAATATAGCTGAAAGCCAGCCGCCTTCTCATCACCCTTGCGCTTTGACCCCTGGGCCGCCTTCTTTGCTGCCTCGCGTTTGGGGATCAACTAGAAAAATTGACACTGACTATTGTTGACATCCGGGGCCCGGCCTCCTCTTCCGGCTTCTTTGCTGGCCCTGCGGCACCCTGCTTGCGATCCTCCTTTTCTGGCTTCTTCGCTGGCTCTGCAGCAGCCTTCTTGCGATCCTCCTTTTCTGGCTTCTTCGCTGGCTCTGCAGCAGCCTTCTTGCGATCCTCCTTTTCTGGCTTCTTTGCCGGCTCTGCAGCAGCCTTCTTGCGATCCTTCTTTGCCGGGCCCGGCTCTTCCTCTTCTTTGACTTCCTGCAGATCCGGAGCCTGACGGGCTAAGGTTATTAAAAATTTAGACTGACGCGAAAATTTATGCGCTAACGCGGAGAAATGTTGACTGGCCTCCTTGCTCTTCCCGGCGATCAACGTCAGCTGCTTCGCGAAATCATCCTGGCCCAACAACAGCAGAAACGAGTACACTGGCTGCGAAAATGTTGTGACCCTCATGTCCTTGGCTTCAGCCGACTTTTTGGCGGGGGCCTTCTTCTCCGACCCAGCGGCAGCGGCGGCCTCTTCAAGATTCAAGGCATGGAACAGAAGGTTCAACACTGATATCAACTTTGGCCCAACCTGCGCAGGCTTCTTATCACCAGGGTCCAGCACCTCACATGTGGAAATGAAAGTGATGAAGTGATGGACCAGAACGTGTCGCGCCGGCCTTCGGCATGCTCTCGGCCACGCTCTTCTGCATAGCCTCCGTCATCTCCTCCAGCTTTTGCCTCATGGCAACCTTTTCTGCCAGCGCCTTGTCCCTGGCCCAGTTGGCCTTCTCCACCTCCTCCGCTGCCTCCTTGCGGACCTTGGCCAGCTCTGCATCCTTCTCCTTGACCGTAGCGCGGAGCTTGTCCATCTCCGCGTCCGCCTTCCCCGCACAGGCCACCCAGCTCTCGTGGCACGTCTGCCACTCGTTCAACTTCTTCTGCTGGGTGGTGATGATCTGCAGGTCCCTCTGCGCGTTGTTCAGCGCATCGGACCTGACGGCCGCCAGGGCGGCCTCGTGCTTCTCCTCCATCTCCTTGACGGAGGCCTTGTGCTCCAGCTCCAAAACCTTCACCTTCATCTCGTGGGCCTCTCGGAGGGCCTGCCGCTGCTCCCGATCCTCCTTGGCCTGGATCGTGATCTTGTGCTCGAGCTGTCGCACCTTCTGGGCGTTGTCCTTCGGCCCCGGCTGGTGCTTTCGCACACGCCTCTGGCCTGCCTCGGCCGCCTCGCTCGTCTCCGGCTGCATGGCAGCCTCCTCATTCTTCTGCCGCCGCTTGCCCCTGCCCTTTGCCGCCTTTGCCTGGTGGGGCTTTTGGCTGGAGGCGGTGTCCTGAGGCCGTTCCCTCCGTCCACCATGACGGGCCTTGCCATGGCCTCCACATGGCACTCTTAAATAAAGTCGCGTGGGTTCAGCTTCCGCAATTAAACCAGCTATAGCTTTCGATGCCAACAGCTCACTACGCGTAGGGTGTGCAAAGCTAGATGTCAGCCCTGGCGCAAGTTGCGCCAATGATGAAGAACCAACCCTGTGTGCGAATTTGAGCCCTAGCTAGCAAGAACGCAAAACAAGTCAAGCAGCCTCGATCACTTCACCCAACTCAATTGCAAGCAAAGCCAAGGCTGGGTCCATCCAGCAAGCTGCGGCGCTGCGCTGCTTCAGCCGCCTTTCCTCCGGGCTGGTTTGGCTTACATTGGGGAAGGCTTGCGGTGTCCTGTGTACATGCCTAGAAGGATTTATATACAAATGCCATCATCATGTATGCATCTTAGTGCACCCTGAATGCATGGCTGGTGTCGTGTGAAACGATATTATATTGCAGGCACGGTTTCAGTCAAAACGCCGCTGATTAAGTGGCAGAGGCCGCTGAACAAGTGGCAAACTCAGGCCTCTACTGACCCTTCTGACGCATACAAGGTTCTACATCAGCTAGGCTCCTACTCAAAGCCCCAACACTTACTCTGCCACTTAATCAGCGGCATCCGCGGCAGAGGACTCGATGAAATAATTCCAACTTCGGGCCACCTTGACTACCAGGACGGGCGGTTCGCTATTATAATCCTGAAAACCCTTAAAAGGCTATTCGCCCTTATAATAGTCCATAATGGGCTATGTCAGAAATGTAAGGGTGTAGTTATGCGCCGAAGTGGGCGCATATATTACTTCTGGCAAGATTTTGCTCAGTGTGAGGCAGAAATGCCATTGTAATTCACAGTTCCACTTGATGCGCTTGCGCTGTAAAGATCTTGATCTGACCGTATTGATGCAGCAAGCTGGTTAGTGTGTGCATCCTTGCGTGCAGGGGCCATGTTTGTGCGTGCATCCTTGTGTACGGGGCCATGTTTGTGAGTGCATCCTTGCGTACAGGGGCCATGTTACTTTTTTGTTCTCCACCCCCCCCATTATGCTTTAGATAGATAAGTCTGTGTGGCGCCCCATTTTTGCGCCACGCAGAAGTCCCGGCAATATAAAGATATAAATATAGATATAGATACATATGTAGGTTCAGGGTTCGGTAGGTTGGTTTCTCCTGTTTTTGGAAGCTCGGGTAGCACGTTGAAATCGTCCATCAAGTATAGCGTCCTTATCAGGGGCCACGCCAGTGGCATGTAGGATTTCACGGGGCGGGCAGTAGTTAGGACCGAGATTCCTGAACGGGAGAAACCTTGTAAGGACGTGACTTGCTTGATCAAGCAAATGCTTCATCAAGCGCTGCCGGCGCAACCTGGTGACAAACTGAAGCGGCCGTTGAGGATGCATGCGAGGACGCCATCTGGCATTTAAGGAAGGACTGAGGAGGATGACGGATTGAAGGAAGGAGAGAAAGCAGAGTCAAACTAGTGGCTGCTCCTTCAACTTCCCGGCGATTTGTGGAAATGATGATGTTCCCCGCAAACCCTGCATTAAGCAAACAGTACCCTCAGCACATTCACGCGGCGCGGTTGTGGCGATCTGACGACGTGATGACGGACAGGTGTTTGGCTTGACGGCAAACACACCGCCGCAGCCGGATAACAACCTCCAGCATATGGCATTTGAAGGATGGCATGGCGAGGCAGTCTGACTGACTGAAGGATGAGGATGCAGGAGGTCGAGCACGGCCTTTAAGATTTGGTCTGCAGGAGGAGGAGGAAGTTGCTAGTAGAGGAGATCGTTTTCTGTACTTATTTCCCATATATATCGAAGAGTGCAGATGTCGCGCGCGCGGCCCATGGGCAATACATGCGCTTAACTTTCCGGAAGTTGGGTGAGTGTAGTTTAACTCTCGGAATATAGCGAGCCTCTACCAACTGTTCCAAATTTAATGCAAGAAGTTGCGGAGTCCCGCCCGGTCTTGAGCGATTGAAGGGTTGCATGCATTATAGGGGTTAGTAGTACACCTATTCTGCCCCGATATAGCAAATTGTCAGTGTACCTTGTTGCCCAGAGTACGGTTGCTTCCCCTGAGCACATGAAACGCCTTGAGTTGCCCGGCGCTTGTACTGCTATTCCGTGTTCGTTGCTGAGACCTTCTGTTAGGACGTTTATAATGATTAGCTTCCAAAATCATTTTCCTAGTCCGGGTTGATCCTCGTGTGAGGAGTATAGGCTTCCAAAATCCTTCTCTTAGTCCGGGTTAATGGGCTTTAATCGAGTTTGGTCTTGTGTTGGACGGCGCAAGCCTCTTCATGAGTTTGCTAAAAGGACCCCGTATTAGTCGATTGGGAGCATTTATTGATGGACCCGCGCACTGTGAGCCTTAAGCTATGAGATTAAGCTTGGCGTACAGGGCGCCTGAGCCTTCATGTTAGTTCATGCAATGGATTCTCATAACAAATTAGAAGTGATCTCCACTCATCGTGTTGGCAATTGTGCTTCCAGCACGCGCGCGTGCATGATTGACTTGCATGTCCGGTACGTTGCCGGGTTGTTTGCTCAGCCGTGTTGCGGTTGTTGCGCTTGATCGGAGCTTCGCGTACGGCATGTCTTGCGTGGAGTGTGTAGCCTGGGTTCGAGGATGTGTCCGGGAATTATAGAGTGTTGGATGAAGCGTTGCATGTGTGGGGTCCAATAGTTGCTTGTTCGGGTTCCAGTTTCTTCGGTTTAAAGTTGGTTGGGTGTCTAGTGCTTTAAATTTGTCCGGGACCTGGTTTCTTTCGGGTAAAAAGTTGGGCTATAGTGGATAATGTATGCAGGGTGTAGGATTTATGCGGATTGGGTTCGGAAATAGGACGGTGCTGGGAGTACCTGTGCAGTTTTGCAGTTGCTGAATTGTGTGTGGCAATATCCATGGGAGGCATGGCTTGCTCTTTGTCACAGGATTTCGGACCGAGGTAGCCTCACCAGGGTTTGTGTGGACAAATCAGCATGCAGTATGGTTCGCAGACCATCCCATGTTCATGACGAATCTATATAATTGAATATCCCGAACAATAACTTAGGATCTAGCTCCTGGATTTGTAGCCATGGGTGATGCGCAAGATGGAGATCGGAAAAACAGAGTCCATCGACTTTCTGCCCTGATCTATGAAAACTGTATACAGAATGATCTTGAAAGGTTTCAGAGCACGGGGTCTGTCCTCCCGACTTCATCATTGCGACATCGATCCACGAGAGACTGCCTACACTTTGCAAAATCATTGCAGGGCCGGTGGTTTACGAAGGCCATGGTAAAGGACGCGTTGTCACACTTACTGTCTGTGCACCAACCAAAGCTTCCTGAAGTACCGGGTTTCAGTTTGGAGTCATGGTTGGAGCAGCAAACAAAGTGCCTTCAGCCACTACTTGCAAGGGCTCGCAGGTCTACTGTCCAGGGAGGTGATCAGGAGGGCCAAGTGGTCGAGGGAGCCATGGCTGAGAATCCGGACAATGCGGAGACTCAGGCTTGGCAGCCTGACTCGTCTGAGGACTGACTTTGTAGTGTCTTGAAACTTAAATGTAGTTCACGCTAGGAAGTCCATCGACTCAGAAATTCTGCAGGACAGTTTGGTGTCGCTACGTGCAGCAAGTGCGAGCGAAGCCTCTTGTTGGAAATTTGGTGGTACCATGCTCCCCAATATTGCCCCCCAAAATCCCAGAACCCGACAGCCCCCAAGAATTCAGCCCCTATAAGCTAAATGGCGCTCGCATCAGGATGTTGTGGCGAAGGCAGGCATGAAGAGATTCCCGCGGCCTTATTCGGACGATCCCCAACCTATGAAGCGTCTCCGCTCCAAAACGTGGCTGTGATTGCAACATGACAGTGCCCTCAAAATGCTGGTTTCATCCATTTTTGATGTCGAGGCCCAGCCAGTTATGCATCCCTCCTACTGATGATGAATCTGCACTGGATGATGGTGCTGCTGAGGCTCCTGGGGTTCTCATCATGCGTTCTTATTTTGTGAGTTGTCCTTTCCTCAGAAAGAAAGTCTTGACATGTTTCAAGGACCCCGACGGTGAGGAAAATTGCCATGAGGGGGCGGATGTTGCGGCTTGGTTTGATGGTACTGTAAATTTCTGGCATGTACATATCATGGGGATGAGTAATTATTTGTTGTGATTCGCAGATCCATCAGTTCATGTAATGTTCACGAAGAAAAACATATGTTGTTTCCAGCTTCTATATTCGGTGCTTTTTGCACTCATATAAGGAGAATCCCGAAGATCAATGGGCCGAGATGGAGCCTGGCGATCATGTGCCTTTGTCCGGACTTTTACATGGCTTCACTTAGTGTGTGCTTTCAGTGATTCCAGTTTTATGTGCGGATCGTGCGGTTCTAGGAATTCAAGGCTTTGATTCTGGGTTCATATATAGTAAATATCTAGATATCCAAAGTCACCTAACATTTGGAATGCATTCAGGATTGACATTTCATGGGCAATGCACTCAGGCAGATCTCGAGCATCATGGATGGCTGGGCGGAGACGATCTGCTGCAGAGATTCGCCGCAGAGGAATCTTGGGATCATTATGGTGGAGCCTTGAAATTTGAAAATTACATGTGAGCCTCATGCGTTCTATGACTTATTTCGGCAATCCATGTTTAGTTCAACGAGCCAAGGCATCCAATGGCCATCTGAATGAAGCTTGCGCAGCCCATAATGGGGAGGAGATGTCTTGGAAAGTTGCTTGGACTTCGACCTTATTTGGAGTTCCTGCTGCATGTTTGTTGTCGGAATGTTTTTTGCCATCATGTATCGCGCGTGTGTAGCCAAGGA